CATATATATATACAAATACATATAAACTACTCACAAAAAACTTAGGAATATTTGACTTTCGGATTAAATTTCAGGATGAACTTAAAATGCAGTCTAACCTTTACAGGTGAACTTATTGTGACCTTCTCTAATCCAGAGGTCTCTCACCTTGGTCTTCATGACCAATTCTCCTGCATGTTTTAAATGTTTCCCTGCTTCAGCACTCCTGACTGAAATGAATGAGTGATTGATGGGCTTCTGATAAACTTGATGGCATTCTGAGTTGGACATTTAATTAGCTAAATTAATTGGAGTGTTAACTAATAAGCTGAAGCCAGGAGAGAGCTCTTATCTGTTTGTCTTTGTTTAAAGGTTTTAAGAATAGGGGGTTAAATCCAACAGATGTTCACAAGGATGAAAGGAGATGTGTGTTGCGACATGTGAGTTGCAATGTATTGGAGATTGGCAGGGTGGAGAACTCAGGAGCAGACCCAGGATGAATATGAGGAGCCATAGTAAAGCAGGCAGTATACTGCAATCGAACTGCCAAAATCATGCCAAATTGTCGCGGTTTCATGATAAAATTTGTGTCCTTCTATTTGCACAGTCGACATTTTCGGCACTTCTTTTCGCTACCCACGGGTTGAACTTTTTTACACCCCTCCACATAAGAACGCAAGAACTTTATTGTGTGATTGGTCAGAAGTTCGTGGGAGTGTTTGTGCTACAAGCGCTCAGACGCTGCATTTTGCTTCAACCACTCGCTTCCAAAAAAAAAAATAATAATAAAGCGACTTGCATCCAGAGCCGAGTGTTGTACCAGGAAGGAGCAGTTTATAAAAAGAGTCAAACAGCCAAAAACTCATAAAAGGGGATAAAACCGACATTTTCACGGTATAATCAGACTGATAAAAACTTTGGAGCTTAATCTGGAACCGGTTTGTCGAAAAACGCCTAGTGACGAGTCTCAGACTTTTTTTCCCACACTGTGGACTTCAGTGGGACAAAATCCCATGAAGTGACCTATGCTGCAGTGGGAGGGGTTTCCTTGGAGCTCGGCACGGGGTGTCTCATCAGGGAGCTATGGTGTGTGTAAAAACGAATGCCAAACAACCACCTGACGGCATGTTGTTCGGTCGGCTGCCGAATGATTATACTGACTGCTTAAGTGTTTCCAGGTTTAGTTTATCTCACCAGTAGCTATCTTAGAAGGAACTCAGGAGAACAGAGATGTCCATGGAGTGATAAACACGATTGCTGAAGAAACTCTTTAAAGTCTTAGATACTTTATCTGAGGCTATACATATGTGCTTAAATGCCTCCAATGTTCCAGCAAAGATTTGTTGTCCCCATTAAATATTTGCAGACGTCATGAGGTGTTACGACCCGGCTCAGCCAGGGAAAAAGGAAGTAACATTAAGAAACCAGATGGAATTGGTTAAAATATGAACAATGGTTTATTTGTAAGACAGGTGTGATCTAACGAACAACTTTTAACAAAAGGAGGGTACTTTTTAAGAAGTACAAAGAGTCCCAACAAAAATATAAGATGTAAAAATACAAATAACAAACCAACCAAAAGTGCCAGTAAC